CAGGGGTCTGGGTTCTCTCTGCCTCCATCTTACAAGTTTACAGCTGTGCCGGGCGTTAGTACTGTCTAAGGAAGCTCAAAGGAATACCCTTCCCGAGAGCCCCTCCTCTCCCGCCGTATCCGGGCTGCTCCACGGTGGCGTCTTTCCGACGCGACCACCAGCTCATCCTCCTTGCTCAGAGCGACACCGCTGCTAGGACTCTGCCCCCGTGTTTCCCGCAGCCGTTAGCAGCACCTTCCTCATGGTCTCAGATGCAGCAGGAGCACAGGAGGCACGGCTCCGTACCTTTCCTACCCCCTTCCCCCACCCTGACGTGACCTTGACCCCACAAGGGGGGCCAGACTCTGGTTCTCATCCTGTGGCGGGTGTTGCAGCCGCCGTAAGTCGCCGTCGCTGCCAGAGGCTCCACCATGTTTGCCAATTACGTAAGAGGCCGCAGAACGTCCGTCTGCTCCCCAGCGCAAGCTTGCGTGAAGCCGACACAGCCCGAGAGGCCAAGCGGGCAAGAGGGCCGTCCGGGAACCACGGCCCCTGGGACGGCGAGTGCCTGTCTCCGGGGCTTGGCTCCCTGAGCCACTCGGCTCCGCTTTCCGCCCGTGTTTGCAGCCTGAAATACCCGAGGACGACCTGGTATGTTTTTGGCCTGAAGGGGCAAAAGAAAGGCAGCCCTTTCAAAATAAGAATTCCCCTGCTGTTTGTTTCATTCTGGAACACAATAAGAACAGGCTGAGGACACGACTCTGAGCTGTCAACACTTCCGACCCAGCTTCCATAGCACTTTTCACTTGCCAGAGAAAAAGTTGCTTAAGTTAAACAAGGGCCTAATGAATAGTCAAAATAATTGTTTAGCTTGGATATAAGGCCTTAGGTAAATAGATGATGGCGTGAGACCAGAGGCCAGAAAAAGCAGTCCAGCAGGACTCCACTTGTTCTGTTTCTCGGACGTCAGCCCAGCGGCCTCTGCTTCTCCAGGGACGGGTGTTGCTGAAGTAGTTCTCTCTTCCCTCGAGCATATTGAAGCAATTTAGTATCAGAAGGGGCTCATAAAAGCAGGGAGAAAGGGAGAGAACTTTCTACATTAGAAATATATACTTAAGACATGAAGTTCACCTCAGCAGAGTCTCCAATAAATAGAATGTTCAAGATACAGAATGTTTGGCTTGTTTGTATTTAACTGTTCATGTGGAAAAATTTCTAAAATGCTTTGTTAGCCCACTTAGGATTGTCCTGCTTCCTGCCTTACTAGTATTTTTAACATGATTTCATCCTTTTTAAACACTATTATTTACAACACCTAAAGACCATCATTAGGTTTATGAGTAATCCCCTTTCAAGACCGTAATTGTAGTTATAGACAGAACAAGCATTGAAAAGGAACCTTTCAGGTATGGGTTTTGTAGGTTGTTGTTGTTACTGTTGATTTGTTTTGTTCTGTTTGTTTATTTAGGTGTCCTTGCTATCATCATGCTTCACTGTTTCTTTTTCCCCAAAACGGCATTACATCATGAAAATTCTACTTAATTAAGAACTTGATTAAATTATTTGCTAGGTAATTTCAGTTCTACTGAATAATATTTTTAATAATTGCCTTCCATCTCTTACTTGAAAATAATAGATGCCTTGTTGATCCAGAACAGGATTTGGTTGTCTTACTCGTTCAGCCCATTTCCGCTGGACTGCTATTCAAATAAACAACATCTATCTGATTGAATCTCGAATTCATCAAGGGGGTGGATTCCCCTGGCATTCAGGTTCCAGGAATCATGATGAATATAGCTTTGGTTTATTGGCAAATAGCAATCAAAGCATACTTTGGGCAATAAAAAGTGAATGCTTAACTATTTGTACAATTTCTTACCCTGATAATACAGGAAAGGGGTTAAGAACATGGGGTTTAAGAGCCCATTTTGAATTTGAGCACGAGTTCCAGTGAGTTCTGTGAGCTCAGACAAATTATTAATTTCCACTGGCTTCAGTTTCCTCATCTGCAAAATGGTCTCATAATAACACCTACTTCGCTGGGTTGTTGGGCAGATGATATTCAGTAAGGCGTGTAAAATGCTCGGTCCAGTGTAAGGATTCAATAACTGTTACCCATCACGCTATTTTCATGCACCTTACAGTTTCCTCACAACAAGCCTATGAGGTAGGCAAAGCTGCTGTAATTATGCTAATTACTTTAAATATTAGAAAACCAGACCTCCCAGTGGTTATTGATTTGCCCACAACCACCCAAGATGGTGAAATATTGATCCTCTCAGTAACAAGAGTCTCTGAATTACTCATGCATTGCCTTCCCTTCACCCATTCTGCCATGTGGTGTTATCTCCTCGACGTTTCCCTAAACCTAAAGCCTTACAAGATAATGGGCATCCTCTGCATTAGACTGTCAGATGGACGAATGGAGCAAATTTTGGCAGAGGCTTTAAAACCTCTGTTGATATTATACAGACATTTTCTGGGAAAATGGTACCTTCTGAACTGCAAAGTCAGGAGGAATGCTTTGCTAATACTGAGGGGGAAAAAATACAAGTGGACAAGTGATTTCCAATTGGTGAACCTAAAACCCTTCCGAGCAGCCTACAGGGATGACACGACAGGTCAACAAACCTAAAGCCTAGCCAGCTTTGTAGACCAAAGGAATACAGTCTCAGCCATGTGGAAGTTTTGAAGTATATGTCTATCTTCTAAAACTAAAATATAAATCATTTAGGCAGTGCTGAATGTATTATATCATTTTGACATGCTGTATTTTCTCAGTGGCTGCTAAATTTCACCTTCTATCATGTGGGGGTCTGTGATTTTTTTTTAAACCAAGTGTGCACACTCCTTAAGGTTAGTAACCAATGGTATTGAGAACAGAGCTCTGCCGTGAAATTCAGTAACGTAGATTTAAGAACCAGCCCTGCTAATTCTAAGCTTAAAGGACCATAAACTTAGGCAGTCCCTTAAAATCAACAGATATCTACTGAGTGCCTTTAAAGATTTATTTATTTATTCGGGGCGGGGGGGGGAGGCGGAGGGAGGGGCAGAGGGAGAGAATCATCAAGCAGACTCCCTGCTGAGTGGGCAGCCCACTCAGGGCCAATCCCACGACCCATGAGATCATGACCTGAACTGAAACCAAGAGTTGGATGCTTAACCGACTGAGCCATCCAGGCGCCTCTACTGAGCGCCTTTAAAGGGCCTGAGCCCTGAGCTGGGAATGGGTCGGTGAACAGCAGTCCTTTGCTTTCTTCACTGAGCCTCCTTTTTCTCACCTATGAAGTAAAAAGAACAATAGTGACTCTCTTCACAAGACTATTGTGAGGATCCAATGAGATAAACAAGAAAATAAATATACTGTGATGTTTGTGAAAGTGCTTCATAAACTTTCTGGAGTGTTATAAACATGGGGTGTTCAAGACAAGCTGCTGAAGACAGGAAAACCTTCTAACTCTCCCCAGTGGCTTTCCTGTAGCTGCTGGCCATCCACCCCAGGAACGTGCCAAATGCTAACAGCATTCCTTTCTTTGATGTCAGATGTTAGCCATATTTATAAAAGTACTTTTCCATCTTTTCCTCCTCCTCCCACTTCGCTTTATTCCATAAATTGTAACATTCCTTAATATCAGTATGGCACTATAATATCAGATTATACAAAGCATTAAATAAGGTACTAATATAAAATTCAAAGCACGGAATAGTCCAGAGGCTCACAGCTTGCAGTTCGTAAGCCCCAAATACAGCATTCATCTGGAAGGGATATTTTAAACATTGCCGGCGGTGCGGGTTATAGCTGAAGGGGATCTCACCCAGGCCCTGGTTAACTCCAGGAGGTATGAATGGAGGAGAGAAGACTGTCTCTCCTCTCTACTCATAGGCTAGGGCCCCGCTGCCATCTCACGTCCGGGAAAGAGTAGTTTATGGGAGCGGACACATTACTCATGGAACTGAAACCTTCCCTGATTCAGTTCTTCCAGAAATATAGTAGATCTCATGTATTTTTACCTCTCCTCTAATTCCATACTTTATGTACTAATTGGCAAATTTTGTCTTTATATTCACTCTTGTCAACAGAAGACATTCACTTAGAGTCTGTTATGTGCCATACAACACACAAAGCACTATGGAAAAATGCCAAACACATAGTATGCATGGTCCTTGCTTTGCAGGAGTTGAGAAATAAGTACACCCAGCATTTATTGCAAGGCACCTAGTGTTATTTTAGATTCTCCAACCAATGACACTTTGAAGGGAGACAGCTGAGGCTAAGAGAAATAAATTTCCCAAGATCGTACAGGTAGCATCTGAGCCAAAATTGACCACAGTCTGTTCCGTTCTAAAATCTGTGCTCTTTCCATTCTACTTCATTACCTCCCTTGATCGGGAAGGCAGAAGACACATCACAAAGGAAAGTGAACACAGACATTAAAGGAAACCTACAAAAAAACAAGTTCTATAAACCCTAGCGACTATGTTATGTACAATGGTGGTGAAGTGTCTGAAGTACCTGGAGCTAGGCAGGCCTTCACTGAGTGGGTTCTAAAGCAGATCAGTGGATACAGCCTGGGGAACAGGATGGTGGACACCAGTCAGAAGGCAACTGTGCTGGAACCAAGAGAAATAACACTGGGCAATTAAACATGCTAATAAGAATAAAAGCTATAATCCCAGAACACCATTCGTCCTCCCAGACTCAGATGCCTCATCTTTGTGGCTCTCAGACTATGGACATTTTGTAAATTACAAAAATTTTCACTGATCCATCTTCCAGGCAGATCTAAAAGGGAGCAGAGTGCTGCTTCGCTCATTAGAGTATTGCCAAGTTCATTACACTCAGCATTCATTAAATATCCCTTCTCAAGTAGCTCTCTCTTATGCAAGGTGAATGGAAATCATTTTCCTCCTGACATTTGGTGTTGGTTCCAATGACATAAGTGGGTAGGAGCAGTTGCAGAGGAAAAGTGAATACACTTGGCAACGTTTTCAAACATGTGTTTGGATTTTCTGTTTTTTAGGAGATGTACGACTAAGGGGTCAGACGGGGGTTCCTGCTGAACGCCGTGGCTCCTACCCATTCATTGACTTCCGCCTACTTAACAGTGAGTAATCAAGTGTACCTGGAAAGGAACAAACGTTTAAAAAAAAAAAAAACTGACTTCCCTCTGAACTTCAAAACCCTCGGAGGTCTGCCTTCCTTCCTCCATGTCTCCCCTCCCAAATGGAACTTAACCTTTTGTCTTTAAGTAATTCTGGCACTGCCTACCTGCCAGAGCTTTAATGAGGATCAAATGAGATCAGGTCAGCTTTAAAAATGTAAGTCTCATGTTAACCTAACTAGAATTTAAATAAAAATTTGAGAAGAAAAAAATAAACTTCAATAAAGTGGGGAAAAAATTAAAATTAAATTAAAATTAAAAGTTAAAATAAAAATGTAAGTCTTAAAAACTGTGAAGCCCTATAAAGCCCTATACAGGGAAGCTTATTCCTTTCATTATCCAGCACATTCTTTCCACCGTCATCCAGGACTAGACCAGATGAGATTCTATTTTATTGTTAAAACCTCTTCTGCAGCTGCCCCTAGTAACTGTCTGTTGTCTCATTCTCCCTTCTTTATCTAATCGAGGTCCCTGAGGTCCGTTCTTCCATTTCCGATAAAACTCTTCACTGTGGCAGAGCCCTAGAGGTCTGGACTTGCTGCTTCCTCCATTACGAATACTTCAGAAAGTCCTTAATTTCTACCTTTCCCCTTCATATATGACTCCTTATTTGAAGTTTTGCTCAACCTCCAGTTCATAATTCTGTTAATCTCAAATTCCTTTGGAAACCCAAACCATTGACCAGTCACCCTGCCTGATTTCATGTCTTCTCACGATCACAATCATCCTGCACTTCAGACTTGGAGGGGCCAGTGGAGGGAGAAAGTGGATAAATTTCACAGTTTGCTCCAAGGTTTTCAGTGTTTGGTTCTCATGTCACTTCCCATCCATAAATTTCAAAGTTCTGGGTTGCACCCACATAGTATTACTTTCCTTTGGAATAAACAAGTTCAGCGAAAGAGGTAATTTGATTTACCTTGACCCCTAAAACTTACTAAGAGAAGTCAAAACTTGCTGTCTTTAGATCCTCAAAAAAGGCAGTAGGGAGTGGAGATGCTTATAATCTCCTAGCTCATTAAACTTCCCTATCAATGTGCAATATGTTCTGTTTTCTCAGCTCTTTCTGGGACACAGAGATTTGGGGTAACCTTTCCATACTAGAGATAACCTCCCCAACCCAGTCCCCAAAAATACATTCTAGAAGACACAATTGATTTGCCAAGCCAATGCACTATTAGAGATATTGGGGGATATAGTGAGCTCTGATGGTGTCTCTTACCTTTCCATATGACCTCCACTAGGCTGTTCCAGGTACCCATGGAGGTTAACCCTTTGACTGTCTTCAGACTGTACTGATTTCCAGTTGCCAGGCATATGGTTCCACCAAGCAAGATGGGGAAGAGCAAAGGATCCAGTTAGTTCACTGTCTCACAGAGACCAGGACTCTCCAATGCTTCACCTACTAAGTGTGAGATGGAGAAAATAACCCAAAAAGCCTCCTTCAATATTAGACGAGATATTATATCATTATTTCTAATATAAGGCATGAATGAATTAGGAAAATAGGAGATACTTCTCTTCATAATTTCAAGGTCCCAAATGATATAATCTGTTTCTAAATTATCCTACTGTTAACAAGCAACATCAGCTAATAGCAGTTATCTTTGTAAGTGGGGTTATGGAATATTTCACTGTCTACATCATAGGTTTCTGTAACAGTTGGATTTTGGGTTTTTTACAATTAGTTTGTTTTATTTTTATAACATTAAAAAAACTGAAAAAAATATAAAAAATTTAAACAGAAAACCAATGCAGATAATATTTCACTGTATTATTCACTATATAACAAACCACTTACAAGCAGGTACCATCCTGTTACCCCTCTTCTGTAGGTCCTCCAGAAACTTCCTAGTGCCTGGACTCACCCCCAGTCTCCTTCCCCTGGTATGAGATGCTCTCTGTCCCTCCACTCCCATTTTACCCCATCTGTTGCTCATGACCCTCCACACATTAAGTGTCGGTGTTGGCTGTCCATTCTGAAATTCCCTTTCTCCTCTGCTCAGCACTCCACTCTAGATAACTCCTTCAATTGTGTCTCTTTATCAGTAAAGCATGCTAAGGCAATATCAATTTACCTTCATTGTATTTTGCTTTATGGTGGACTCAGTTTTTTTTCCTAGATGTATAAAACACATCCCTAAATAGACTACAAGATCCCAAAGAACTGACCTCTCACTAACTTTTGTTAACTTACCAATTAGATCAAAAGATCCCCTCAAAAAGATTATATTAAATAATTATAAACATCAGTCATCCCCTACATTTTGCTCAACAGCTCAAATAGGACTGAAGCCCTCTGAGGTTTTTCTTTATTTGTGGTACTATCCATTCCATTGTCAAACACCTGCTATACCTGGTTAGAGAGTTGAGAATAGAATCCACAACATGACTGTGGTCACTCTTCACCATTTCTAGATTAGCCTGCAATTACAGCAGCTTGTCACCAGGTAGCAGCAGGTGTGTGGCTGTCTGTGTTGCTTACAGTCACTTAAGATGTCATATTTGTGTCACAGCTCCTACTACTTTATATAGAGCCTATTTAATTCTCTTTAATATCACTCATGTTCTTGTTGAGGTTTGCCTGCCTGAGTTGTTAGTATCTGCTTTCTGCCTAAAAGGAAACATTTTAAATATAATTCTATAATGATTTAAAGATAAACTCCAAAGGGACATTAAATGTACAAAAATGTACATTAAATAGTAAGGCCTACTGCATTTCTCCACTGGCCCTGTTAGCTACTGCCCCAACCTACCATAGTGGAGCAAGAAGATGTCAGAATTATTATCTAAAATAACTTTCTATCAGAACAAAGTTTCTAGACATTAAAACTGATAACTAGAATGAGATTGGGCCAATGACAACCAAGGCAGTAAATCTGTACTCCTGCCCATGCTTGTCTCATAAATAAGATTTTATTGGCAAACAGCCATGTCCTTCATTTACAGCTACTTTCCAACAGAGACCATATGGCCCACAAAGCCAAAAATACTTACTGTACTGCCCTTAACAGAAAAGAGTGACTAACCCTTAACTTAGATTTTTAAACAAAGTTAAAAGTTTATGACATCTCCATAGGTACATTCAGCCTGGCCTATTTTCCTTTGTTAAAGTCATTTAATCCCCAGTGCCATCACTATACTTTGAAGAATGGACTCACACTGACTTAATTTACATGAGATAAAAGTATAAACAGAAAGGGAACTTCCTTGCTGATCCAGATTTTAAATTCCACAGTTACAATTTCTAACTGCACAGACATTGTTCTGGAAGAGGTATCCCTTCCCCCTGTTTTTTGAAGACACGGTACTACCATGCCTATGTACTTGTCTACATATAAGGTGATGTTATATACCTGGTTTGCCTGGCATAGTCAAATTTGCACCTGTTGTCTAGGCAAACTTATTAATGCTGTTTTTCACTCCCTACGTATTCTGGTTTAGACAATAATTACAAGGCCAGTGGATTTTTATAGTTTTTCCTACCAAAAAAAGTTACTTCAAGACAACACCTCTTAAATGTCACTTTTTTTTTAAAGATTTTATTTATTCATTTGAGACACAGAGATACAGAGAGAGAGAGCATGAGCAGTGGGAGAGGCAGAGGGAGAGGGAGAAGCAGACTCCCCGCCAAGCCAGGAGCCCAATGTGGGGCTCGATCCCAGGACCCTGGGATCACGACCTGAGCCAAAAGCAGATGCTTAACCATCTTGAGCCACCCAGGCGCCCCTTAAATGTCACTTTCAATCCGGGAATAAAGATCAGAAAATCCTCCTCATACGAGACGCATCCAGACCCATGCATTTCTTTATTGAGAAACATGTAACATAAAGTTACCTGTTGACAGCGTTTCATTTACTGTTTGTATTTTATAGAATTTAGAAAAGAGCCATTTGTATGAATTTTGAGAAGCTGCTCTGGATAAGTAGCAGAAAAATGTGGCTTCAGCACCATTGTGTGGGACACAGGAATCATAGACCTTTAAAGAAGAGGAGGGAGAGGCAGAACAGAGGGAGAGAAAAGAGTGACAATTATTTTTATTCTGCATGAGATACGAAAACAGGGACCTGGAAGAGGGCAGGAGGAATGGGCATGTACTGACTCAGTTATCCCAATGCCACTGTCCTATGGATTTATGTCATTCCTTAACTCTGGAGGGAAACGAGAGAAGAGAAAACGGAGAGACAGTGTTCTGAGAAACGTGTGGCCACATAGGCGAAAATGTCGCAGAAGCAATCACCATTTTCTGCAGAACAGGTGGCTGCAGCGCCCCTGGTACATCTCTGTCTCCTGGTTTAATGTAATCAGTAGGCTGAGTAGATAATGACTAGGTGGAGATGTTCCCATGGCAACCAATTCAGAGCAACACAATGTGATTTCCACACTCGCGCGGCAAAGGAAGCGACATACAAAGCAAACATTCCCAGCGACTGTGGAGCTTGAAGGAACGAGGCAGCTTCAACTGGAAGTTTTAGGGCAGCACGTTTCTGCTGCCACAGAGAGCCTGGAGCTCCACACCAGCCACGGGGCTTTGCTGGCGGAGGAGGTTAATTGGCTCTTTGGCTTTTCCTGTTGGCTAGTTTGCTAATCTTGATCTTTAAAGTTCTATTCCTCCAGATCTGCCTCTCCAGGCAGGGCCGTTTTAACTGCACAAGCATGAGGTAATTTTAGTAGAGCTACAAAAAGATTTTCCTTTGCTCATTATTGTTGAAATAGAACTAATAAATACTATTTATTTATTGATATGATATATAAATATCATATATATGATATATAAATATATGTAATATATAAATATATGTAATACATATATATTATATTTATATGACATAATACAAACTTACACATATGTATTATACATACATTTGTACACACATATTTATACATATACATTATACATACATTTATACATATAATATGTTGTATAATACATAATTGTATAAATA